GGCCCCCGGGCTGTGACTCAGCAACCCGCTTCCGGGGCGGACAGCCACAGCCCCGCCATTTTCCCCGTAACGCCACTGCCTCCTCAGAAGGCAGCGGCTTTTTTCCTCCCCTCAGTTCCAAAAGCACGGTTCAGACTGAGACAAGACTCTGCCCAACTCCTCCCCCCCCCACCCTCCAAACAAAAAACACTGCCCGACAAGCACCCACTCCTGCTTCATACCCGCCTGCCCAGAAAAATCGTCCCGCTTTTCCCCCTCTAACCCCCCAAGCTCTCCCGGCGCTCCACTCACGTCTCCGGCCCTGAACGTCACTCGAGAACAAGTCCTCTCCTCCCTCTTGCAACTATGACCTGCTGTGTGACGCAGCCCGCCCGTATTTATGCGATCTCTGACAGACAGGCCCCGCCCTCGGCAACTGACGTGTCCATCCGCCTCACAAACTAGTCCCAAGGAAAAGACCACTGCTGTGAAAAATATTGGCCTTTCTCGCTCTCCAAATCCTCTTCCAGGGGGCAAAGGGGTCCTGGAGTCTTAGTGTGTGGCCTCAAACTCTTAAAAATCTGCAAATTTCTGAGGGCGCGGATGGATCTGGCGGTGCGGTGATGAAGCCGGTAGAAAGAACGAGAAGCTCGGCATTGATTGGTGCAGCGGTAAGAAGAGGGGGTGTTGACTGGTTGATCCGGTGGGAAGATAGATAGGGCGAGGGTGGTGGCTGCAAGGAAAGCTCTGGAAGATTCGGCCGCTGCTCGGCGCGGATTGGTGCACGGTGAGGTCAGCGTTGTTGCTAGGGGGGAGCCGCCTTGCGGAGGCAGATTTCGGCGGGGAGGGTGCTGCGCGCATGCGGCCTAGCGCCCCAGGCATTGCTTAGAGAAAAGCCTGGCACGGACTGGGGGAGAAGTGCCCCGGACAGAGAGGGGTTACCCGCGGTGCCAGGTTTTTGCTGACCCACAGAGACAGCAGCGCATCTGGCTGACCCCCTTCCTGGGGTGGCCTGGATCGCTTATGGCGGAGCCTGGAATAGACTGCAGGGCTAGTCCTGCCCCGTGAGGCTGTGGGGAAAAGCCAGGAAGAGCAATACTGAGTTAGCAAAGATGGATAAAAAAAGCTTATTTAGAACTTTGGCAAGCGTTGGTGGCTCCTGGTGCGTCAGGCTTGCTACAGGCTGCGCGTGTCCCTCGTCATGCGGCCTGTTTCCTGAGCAGGCCCTGGAACCCATTTCAGCTGGCTGACAATTCTTTGATGTGGGGTTGCAAAACAACCCCTCTGATGAAATGCTGACATTTGAAATTCAAATGGCTGTTTACTTGCCTTCAGAACAGGAAGCTTTGACCAGGTTATGGAGCAGCTTCCTTCTGTGAGCTGATGGGGAAATGTGTTCCATGTTAATTAAGCTTCATGATGCCTTTCAGACTGGCTCTTAACTGACTTTACATCATATCTGGAGTACACAAAATCCAGAAGGGTTTTTATATGGTAGTGTTTTATGTGCTGCTAACGCCTTCAGTGAAGCCAGATGAACTCGCTGTTAAATCCTTCACTCACAAAGCATGAGCACACGTGAATGGCAGGATTCAGTACACAGCTACTCTATTTCCCCTTTAAAAAAAAAGAAGACAAAATAACCAAAACCACAAAAAAAAACCCCAACAACAACACAACCCTTTTGCTTTCCTTTCTCCTAACAGGGCTTGTGTCTGCTAGCACTTCTTCGTTTACAGTAAAAAGGAAATAAATCATCCCAACAATAATTATTCACAATGTAGAAACAGGAAGAGTGGAAAATGGTAACTGGAAAGCTCAGAGACAGCTCCATGACAATAACCAACCTTGGAAATATTTTTCGGCTACATAAATTTAGGACAAAAGGCAGATTTGGGCAATATCGCATTTGGTTTCTTTACGCTGCCAGTTTTGCTCAGTGTTTCCAATCGGTTCGTTTTGTTTGCTTGGTGCCAGGTGACTAAACATTTGCTCCAAGGCTGGCCTGTGTATGCTGTGTATCCCAGGCACTGCTCCAGGAACTGTGTCCCCCAGCCACACAATGCCATGGAGTCCTGAGAGGAAGGCCATGAGTAACTAATATTTACAACTGCGGAAGGCCACGTCTGCTAAACTGGAAATAACCACAGGCTAATCTAAAGACTGGCCTGTGTTTGAGCACATCAGACTTGTATTAAGGATTTTAGTGTGCTTGTCTTTGTTTTTTCATGTCCCTCTGGATGGAGAAGGAGAAATTTCTGTCATTTTTTTCCTTTCTATGTAAACCAGGAAACACAGGAGCCTTTCCTTGGTTTTTTCCAAGTATGGCTAAATCCCATGACTAATCTGCTTTCACTATTGTTGTTCAGTTTCTGTTGAAGTATTCAAATCAACATATCAGAATAAAGTCCCAACAAGATGGGTCTACCATGGGTAGTGCTTTAAACACCTTGTTAATAATGGCTCCTGAAAAATTTGTGCTTCAGGGAAGTGACCTTACCCAAAGCAAGCAGAGGCAGCAACATGCTGACATCAAATGCAGGCTCTGTTTTAAAAACAGTTATGGATTAAATTAATCAATTCCACCTAAAAAGCCTCATTATTTTCCTCAGTTATCGCTCTGTCAAAAGAGATAAACAAAAGAGTTAGGCTTTATGCACACAACTCCAGGCCTAGCAGAATTAAACTAATCTCCGTAGCCTGCAGGCAAAGTACTCTACCCAGGGCACCATTAGCATTTTGCAGCCTCCACTGACTGGATTCGTTTAATTCTCCTAACTATTAATCTGAGATAGCCATCTACATGCCTGTATGGAGCCCACCTCTTTTGTTTTGGGGGGTGGGCTGAATACAGAGAGCTGCTTAAATACATCTTTTCCTGTCCCTTGGCTTTTTCTGTGTGGCAAAGTCATGCCCCAAATGTTACACATTTCATATCTGCACAGATTCTTTATAGTACTTCAATGATAGTTAATATCAAGTTGAAAGCTACTTCTTTTTAAAATCAGAATGCAGTGTTTATATATTGCGGGCCAGATTCTGCCTGATTTTATACATTATGCGTATAGAATAATCTCCTAAGCAGGAATTGATGGCCTTGTGACTTAATTTTACTGAATTTCAGCTTTATCTCAGAATATTGTTACTAAATATTCCACTACCTGAATGATACAGACAAAGGAGATCTGTTTAGTCTTAAATGGTGTGGTAACTGTTGTGGTTCTACAAAGCATATGTATTTAACATGTATGTCACTCTTCCTCCAGTAGCTCTTGGTGAATAAGAATCATCAGGCAGCTGACTGTGATCTGTATATAAATAAATGCAAAGCTGAAAAACCCGAAATCTCTATCTTGTGACTGGCCAGGTGGTTCCAGCCTTTGCCAGGGCACGGGGCCTGCCGTTGGGAACACATTATTTCTTTCTAAGTGGTTTCAAAAGTAGGTCATTGGGCAGTAGTACAAAGCAACCTACTTCCAGAAGAGAAGAGTCGGGGGTCAAAGAAATGTTTCCAATGATGTGTACATTCTAGAACACAAGTTCTGTCTGGTTTTTATGTACACCAATGTCCTAGCAACAGCATATCATTTCTACATGAGCAATGTCAAACGAAGCAATCTGTTTATCTTTAGTTACAAGGGTTTAACTTGGGACAGCCAACCAGTCAGGCGATTTCAGTGTGTGGAGCAAGTTCAGCGCTGTTCCTTTGTTCACATAAAAATAGAGCTACTTGCCACAGGGAAAAAAACAAGGTGTATTCCTATCTCATAATATTACTCATACCTACTTCAAGTCTGTCTCATTGTGTATGACACAGGATAATTATATTTGCCTGTTTACAGTTGCGGAGATAAATATTTTCCCCCCAAACCTGTAGCACTGCAATAAGGCCTAGTCTTTGCTGAAGTTCCAGCCACAAGACAAATAGAGCTGTGGCATGTTACTGCTTGTCTTTGTACTGCCAAGTTCAAGGGTTACAGAAATAGTGAGTCACAATTCAAAGTACTGTGAGATTGACTGTAACATTATGAGATTACCAAAAAAAGACAACTATCTGAGTTTTGTTTTTTAAGCCTTATGCTAAAAATACCTTAAATAAACAAAGTTTTTAATAAGCTACCAACTTCTGGAGCTGAAAGCTTAAGAAAAACAGATATCCAGATTTGTAGTAAAAACAGGAAAATGAGCAATACTCCTCTGTCTCTCTGTTTGTTTAAAGCATGTTTTGACTTCACAGGACACATGGGATACAGCTTTAAGATCTGTGCTGCCATGATAAACAGGCTTGGGCACGTCCTTCTCTGTAGGTCTAAATGACCCAGAGGAACACATGGCAATTCGCTATGTAAGGAGACATCTAAAGGGCATTTTATAAAGACGCCATCAGCCTAAAATCACAGGTTTCTGCCTGCATGTTATGCCAGTGAAAGCAACAATTAATAACTATTCTAAAAATTACTTGTCTGCATCTTTCCAGCCTGCCTCCTGCCTGTGAGTCTTTTGGATCTGATCCAAGCTGCACTGCAGTGAAGGAGCTCTCTTTGTTCACGTTCCCTCTGCTGCGTCTGAGACGATTTAGCATGTGGCTTCTTGGGTGAAAGAAACACCTTGAAAAACAGAAAGACAGAAGAAATAAGTCCTAAAATGCTGTTAGTCATTATTAGTAAGTTCCAATGGAACCTCTCTAACAGTGAACAAAACCAAATACTGTCAAGGCCGTTCTGAACAGCTTTCGTGCGTTGGTTCAGATGTGGTATCTCCTGTACTTTGTCCTCAGATCCAGCTTGGATCCCTTGATGGTGAGGAGAATGTCCAGAATGCTTCCCCCTCCACCATAATTAGACTAAAATCCAAGCACTGACATTTTTCTACCCTGCCCAAACTATATAGTTTTAACTACCTAGTTCTTTTAAATGTGGTGTTAGCTTTACACTACTTTTAGTTCCCTGCTTATTAGATGAAAAGCATCCAGTTCCTAATTCTCTTTAACCCACAAACATGTAGCTGCTTTCATGCTGCTTTTGCGATGAAAATGCCGTGACAGAATCTCAATGCGGCTGCAAGCCAGGTCTGCAGAGCTGAGTCATTGTTATACAAGCAGAGCTGAGATGGCACAGCAAGCCGCCTTTGTACTTTAACATTAAAACATGTCAGCTGTTGAACTTTGAATATCACAAGACACCTAAAGAGAACAAACAGTGATTTACTGGACTTTTCCTCTTGTCCAACCCATCATCTTTCTGAATAGTTCTTCCTTCTCCATTTTGTCTCAGAAGCTTAAGAGCAAAGCATTCTTCATTAAGCTATTGGCTTCGACTAAAGTTTGGCAAACATTTAATCAGATTTGGAAGTAACCATGTACCACTGAAAGCTGTTAACTCTTTGGGCACTGGGAAGCACCTGCCACCCAGGTACACGGACAAGGCAGAATGTAACCACTGAAATTTAGGGCTTGCCATCAGAATACCAGTGAAATTTATCATCAGCCAGAGACCTGCTATAAAGCTCTTGAATGATTATTTATGTGAGATCCTGTTTTGAGCTTTAAGAGTCCTTTATAATAAAATAAGAAACAAATGAAAGAGGAAGGATTTCTTTACTATAGCCTTCAGAAACAAAACTGCATTTTGTTCTTCCATTTTGTCTTCCAGTTCTTTAACCTGAAGTGTCACAGGGGAACAGAATTTTGCTTCTTGAAACACTTTCTACATTTAAAATAAGATGAATGAATTGCAGGGGGATGCAGATATTACACGGACTGTGTATTCACTTCATTTTTCTCAGTAGAACTGCTTTTTGAGAACATGCAAGTGCTAGCGTCTCCTGCCTTGTGGAGAGGAGGCCATTTGTGTGAACAGATCACTAACAAGCTCCTAAAATGTGTTTTGGCTTTCAGTTTAGTGCAGTTAACTGTTTTTGGAAAAGGATAGACCACATAGGCTGAAAACCCCCGAAACCTGCAACCGCTGCTGGCCCTACCCTGCACGGAAGGCAAATGAAGCCATGCCGCAAACTGCACGGGCACGGTTTCAGTTCACGGTCTCCAGTTTCATCTCAGTGACTTTTCCTCCTAAAATATAAGGTGACTAACATGAAACCTAGTGTGACTAAAGGTCTGGGAGTGGCTCCGGTCAGGAGCTACAGATGAACGTGCTGGCATGGGCCATTTGACACATGCGGTGTATTAAAATGGTTCCATTAGGATGAGTAACTAGTACAGAGGTTCCCATGAGGAATAACAGGAAGCTGTAACTCAGCGCCCTTTCCTGTCATCAGAGAAGAGAGGTGCTGAGCCACAGGATTGTTATGCAAGTCCTGGTATGTGCCATCTCAGGAGAGAGCCCACATGCTGGAGTCGCATGTTTTTAAAGCTCTTTTCCAGACCAGAGAGTGCTGATAGCTGTTTCATCCTTGTCCAGTTGCTTTGCTGTATTCCTGGCCGAGATAGGACCCTTTGGTGCCTCTTCTACCCCACCACAGACTGTCAGCTCACTTGTTTACATCTTTCCCAGTTCCCCGTCCTGAGAAGAGCAAGACATTAAGTCCTGTTGAAAATACAATTTTTCTACTATAAAATAAATTCCCAGTCCTGCAACACTGGGCACAAAGATTCATCCTTGGAGTGATGGGGGTTTTTGCCCCAACCGAAGGTGACTTGGACACCTACAAGTTTTGTACTTCTCCCCTGCATCGAATAGTTGTAGCTGAGAAACAGCGTTGTCTTTCAGATGTTCAATAACCTTTTCTAAGATATTTACTACTACTGGAGATGTGCTTTCACGTTTTCCTATTCTTTTTTTTTTTTTTTTTAAGATATATACTATCTGGATTGTTTTCCTTTATAACTTTTAAGACGTTGGTGACAGAATCTGTGAGAAGCTGGCTAGTGGGAATCATGTTAGAACCCATTTCTCCGCGAGGCTGCTGTAATGATTTCAAACCTGAGGAAGGACTAACCACGCTTCCGAAGGGCCATCCCGATCCGCCGCAGTACTGTTCAACAGCAGTCTTGTTTCTAATTGAGGGCAGGTGCATAGCAGAGATGTGGAACAATACACTTTGAACAGCCCCTCAGGTCTGCAGAGCATCTTGACATTCTTGAATGCGCGAGGCACCATAGGTTGAGAATTAAAGGAAACACCTCCTGCTAATGCTTGTGGGCAACGCGCGTTTTGACCATTACAAGGTGTTTTACAAGCACGAAGCGAGCCTGCTTCCCTTTGCGGGAAACCGGCTAACAGCGCGGGGCGTGAATTTTCCGTGATCCTCAGTTTTGCTCGTTCCGCCGCCCCGCGTTGCAGCTGGCAGAGGGGGCCGATGTCGATGCCGGCACCGGAGCGTCCTCCGCGGCCCCG